CGGCGATTGGCCGTTGAGTCATCGATGTAGTGATGAAATCAACGGCATTTCCGTCACTAATAGCGGCGATTGGCCGTTGAGTTCATCGATATGGTGATGAAATCAACGGCATTTCCGTCACTAATAGCGGCGATTGGCCGTTGAGTTCATCGATGTAGTGATGAAATCAACGGCATTTCCGTCACTAATAGCGGCGATTGGCCGTTGAGTTCATCGATATAGTGATGAAATCAACGGCATTTCCGTCACTAATATAGTTCATTAATTCATACGGCATTTGTCTACACTCCAAGCAGAGGTGGGATTGCACGGTATTCTGGCAGTATTTGGGCGTTTTTCAATAAGTCTTTTTACTCCATATAATTACACGAACGGGAATTGGACCATTTTAGTCGACATTTCGCGTGCGGGAAATTCACCATCAGTGACAAATAATGTCCGTCCGCGGACGCCGTACGGGAACTTCACGGCCGATATAAGACGGGAACTTCACCACATTACACAAACGGGAATTGGACCATTTTAGTCGACATTTGTCGCACGGGAAATTCACCAGTTGTACTACAGGTGCAACCAATTTTCGATTGAACCGCCTGGAATCAAAACAACGCCCCTAGCCTGATTTGAAGCAAAATTCTAAAAACGTCGAGTGATCGAGTGATCGACGTAATCACGAGTGCGTCTTCAATTAGTTAGCAAGTACCTAAGTAAAAATTCACGTCTTATGCTTGTTTTGTAGATTTTAGTAAAGCCTTTGACTCTGTCTGGAGAAAAGGCCTTCTATGTTCAATGATGACATTTGTGACTCACCAACCATGTACAACAAGCTAGTCCCATGTTTATTTTATGCAGATGATTTAGTCCTTCTCTCTGAGTCAAAACAAAGACTACAATCTGCCCTGAATAGATAAGAACAATACTGCCATACTTGGAAGCTAAATGTAAACCTTAGGAAAACAAAAATTATTGTTTTCTCTAAGGGTGGTCGCCTACCAAAAGACCTGTCCTTCATGTATGAGAAAAAACCCTGTTGAGATAGTAACCTCATTGTCTTCGTCAGAAGGACTATGAAATTGTCTCGCCGCATTGTGGGAACTGCGGATTGTAGTAGAATGTAGTTTGTATAACAGTGCGAGAATTGAACTTTATAGACGGATAACATCGATGTTTCCCCACTTTACACACCTAAGTAATACAGACAAATTCACATTTTTAATGAACTTAGACAAACCCTCGATCCTCAAACTTGTATGTTCTTATCTTTTCAACATCACAGAGAAGCGAAAAGAAGTCGAAATTGTGTAACAGACTGTAGTGCTAGTACTAGATTGATCTTGTTGTGTACATGTATATATTTGTGTATTCAAGTTAACCTTTGTACCTAACCCAGTGGGTATGTTTGTACAATAAAGGTCTTCATCATCATTGAAACTCGGTAGAACACACACATAATGCCACACATAAAAAGCCTGTTATACTACAGTACAAAAATGCCCGAAGAAGACACACGCAATTACGAGTAAGTCTTATAGTTATACGGACAGTCGTGTTTATAGCCTAATTGATAACGACAACCGGCTCCTCGGCAACGAACACAAAATGTTCGTCCTCAAATTAAAACATAATGATGTGTGTCAACCTCACGCTATACAAATGACTTAGCGAGCGGCTTAGACTTTACGGCTATTCCCCTATTCTCATATATAGTACTCAGGACGCTAGTACTAGTACTAGAACCGGGGTAGACAAATATGGCGGACATAAACAAAACGACGCTATCCCGTCATGCATTATAATGACGCTAGGCGGGAGATCTGAGTGTTACGGCTGTAGCAAAAATAAAAACCTTGTTCGGTATTTCAGATTCAATCCCTGCGTATGTGTTGTGGGTTGCCAGTTACTCATATTTTCCTTG